CTCTGAAAATAATATACAATGAAGGTGCTTGGGGTGCCTGGGTGGCTCAGTGGGTTGAGCATCGGACTTCAGCTCTGGAGCCCCCCTTAGGCTCCGTGCTCAGGGGAGAGTCTGCTTGTCCGTTTCCTTCTGCCCTTACTCTGCCCTCCGTTCTCCCTACCCCCCACCTCGCCCTCATGCTCTCAAATAAATAAATAAACAAAATCTTAAAAAAAAAAAGTCGCATGCTCTACTGACGAAGTCAGCCAGGTGCCCCAGGAATGTCTTGCATTGGTGTTGTTCAATATAGTAGCCGCTAGCCACAGGTAGCTATAGAGCACTTAAAACATGCTTAATGCAACTGAGGAACTCGATTTTAAATTAAATTAGTCATTTATTTTAAGTATTCCTCTCCCCATAATGTGCGGCTCAAACTCATAACCCCGAGATCAAGAGTCACATAATGTACTGACTGAGACAGCCAGGTATCCCTATTTAATTTTAATTTACTTAAATTTAAATAGCCACATGTGGCTAGTATCTTTTGTAGCGGAGAGTACAGTGTTGTGTGTTTTCTGCCTCTATCTCAATGTAGGTCTTCAAAGAGGAATACATTTTATAGAGCGTAGTATCATTGGAGACCAAGAGCACTGGACTGGGAGTCAGACCAGAGTTCAATTTCAGCTGTGCACTTTACTGGCTTGGTGACTCTAGGCAATGCACTTCCTTATCGAGGTTTCAATTTCCTCTGTTTTCTTCTCTTTAGTGGGGAGAAGTGAGGGTCCAAAGAGCTAAGGGTAGTAAGGCACTGGGAACTGGGAAGGGCTGCCCACTGCTCTCACAGGTTACCAATTCACCTCCCTTTACCACCTTTTTTTTTTTTAATCTTAAAAGATTTTATTTATTTGGCAGAGAGAGAGAGAGAGCACAAGCAGTCAGAGCTGTAGGCAGAGGAAGTAGGCTCCCCACTGAGTGGAGAGCCCTACACACGGGGCTCTTGATCCCAGGACTCTGAGATCATGACCTGAGCCAAAGGCAGACACTTAACTACCTGAGCCACTCAGGCGCTCCTACCAAGCACCATTTATAAGAATGGCAGAGTGCTGTGCCAAGTGTATGTTCCAAAGATGCCTCTTCAGAGAGCCTTTGAGAACCGCATCTATCCACCTCTATTGCCTGCTTCCTTTTCTTTGGGCCATTCGATGTTATTTGAGTAATGTATATTGGCCTCTAGGGTCACAGAGGTAGGACACTGTCACTGTTTTCTTTTGTATTGCTTTTGTATCTCTAGGGACTAGCACGTAGCAGGTTCTCAGTAAATATTTGTACATGAATGGATGAAATGACAAGTGCTAGTGTTTGAATTTAGGTGTGATTTTAAAGGTCATCGAGTTCTATAACTTTACAAAATCTATTCCCTTACCATGTTTATAACTGGAAATGCTGGAAAAAGACCCAAATACCCAACATGGGTGCTTGGTTTAATTAAATGATTCTTTTTTTTTTTTTTTAAGATTTTTTATTTATTTGTCAGAGAGAGAGGGAGAGAGAGCAAGCACAGGCAGACAGAATGGCAGGCAGAGGCAGAGGGAGAAGCAGGCTCCCCGCCAAGCAAGGAGCCCGATGTGGGCCTCGATCCCAGGATGCTGGGATCATGACCTGAGCCGAAGGCAGCTGCTTAACCAACTGAGCCACCCAGGCGTCCCTAATTAAATGATTCTTAAGATACATTATGCAAAAGAGTGTTCGGTGACATAAAAAGAGGTGTATGTACTTTGTATTGTTAAGTGAAAAAAAAATGAAAACTGAAGGTATACTATAGTCTCACTTTGTAAAAGTTACATATATTTGTATGCACAGGATAAGTTTAGAACAATAGATATAATTAATATAAATATGATTACTATCACTGGGTGAGATTAAGGGATAAAAACATTTTTGGGGGGGTGCTTGGGTGGCTCAGTCATTAAACATCTGTCTTCAGCTCAGGTCATGATCCCAGGGTCCTGGGATTGAGCCTTGCATCTGGTTCCCTGCTCAGCGGAAAGCCTGCATCTCCCTCCTCCCTTCCCCCTGATTGTGTTCTCTTTCTCTCTCTCTCTCTTTGCATGTGTCTCTCTCTGCCAAATAAATAAAATCTTTAAAAAACCCCACTTTTTTCTAAAACATTTATTTCAATTAAAAGAATGTATCTAATATATCCAGAAAAGCAAAATTATAGAGACAGAGTAGATTAGTAGTTGCCTGTGGCTGGGAGTGGGAATGGGATTACCAGTAAATGGGTCTGAGGGATTTTATGCGGAATCTGTATATGTTCTAAAACTGAAATATTGATGTTGCATCACTTGGTAACATTATTAAAAATCCTTGATCTGTTCTCTTGGAATGCATGAGTTTTAGGATATGTAAATATACCTCAATAACATTAAAAATGTGTTATATATACATTTGTTTAATATATATATGGGTATGTGTGTATATATATACATACCCATATATATATTATATATATATGTGTGTGTGTGTGTGTGCTTTCTTAAATAATTAAAGCAATGTAGAAGTATTCAAAATACCCTATCCCCAACCCTAGCTCTACTTTTGAGGCACAACAGTAGTAGTTGGTGTTTAACCCTTTCTAGCCTTTTTCTATGCAAAATCTAAGTAAAACATACACATAATAGACATGTAATTTTTTGCAATTTTCTTCTCTCTCTGAACATACACTGTAGGACATGAAAACTGGTAACTGCCCTGGGACGTGGGATTAGGGGTAGAGGGAGTAGAGTGGGGGTGGGAAGGGAGAGGCACACTTGAAATTTTTAGTTTCTTTACTTTTACAGCATTTGCATGCTTTTTTTGGTCAGGAATGTTTGGAGTTATGAACCCAATAAAGAGATTGGAATAAGTGACACCATTGAATGCTTAATTCTGTGCAGTCCACCTATTTAAAACAATTTAGAAATTGACCTAATGCCGGGCACTAAACTAAGTGCCTGAGATATACTGTCTCACTGAATCCTTGTAGCGATCCTACAAGGTATGCACTATTATAGTCTCACTTGACAGATGAGTTACCTAAGACCTAGAGAGACTGATTTTCCAAGGTCACGTAGCTGGTCTGCAGAGAACCCAGACCTTTTATACTGCAGTGGCTCTTTTCCTCCAAGCAGATGCATGTTCTTGGAAAGCCCATCTTTAATGACCTCATTGCCTGTGCAAGTGCAGTCCTCCCTAACCCACTCAAATCCTCCAGGTGAGGTGACCAACAATTACAAGCTAATGCTGTAAGAACACATGGTTTAATGAGCTGTGTGCAAAGTGGAGGAATTCAGACGATGTATCTGAAGCAGCCAATGGGCTTTTGAGAGAATACGTTTGGAATTGACTAAGAATCCCAAGGAGTCTTCCAGGAGTGTGAAGAAAGTTGAGAGCGATCGGAAGTGGGGGACAGGGTGTAGAAAGGGATTTTGGGGCCTAGCCCCGCCCCCCCCCGCCCCCCAGGCGGCTCAGAAAATGTTACAGACCCTGGCAACTATAGTACTTAAGTTCAGCGTGGCTGGAGGGTCAAGCTGGCCTGAAGGAGGGGCAAAGGGAAGGGCATTCACCTTGAAACTTAAGGCCAGATCACCAAAACTTTTGAAGTTGAGTTAGAGTATTCATACTTTATCTCTTGAATAAAGCAGAGGCTTTAAAACATTTGAATCTGGCATGTTACAAAGAAGGGAAGAGACCCAGAAGGGGCTGTTATGGGAGATCCCTCTTGACCCACAGCTCTCCAAATCCGATTGCTGGGTGGTCAGGTTGTTTCCCGCCCTGGCCTGGGAATTCCTTTAGGGCGAGGACCTTGTCTCATTCACTTGTGCTTCCTAACACCCAGCACAGCACCTGGCATGCAGCGGGTACTCAGTAAGGGGCGGAACTGGTAGGCAGAATGCTGTAACCAAAAAAGTGCCCAGGATTAACTCTGTAAAATACAAAGTAAAACATAATTTCTTCCTTAGCACTGCCCAGACGGGTGTTCAGCCAAAGTCTGACACAACAATAAGGAGGCCAGAGAAGTCCTGGCCTCAAACTGAATTCCCAGGCAGGTCCATTGGGTGAGAAAAGGAGAGATGGTTGCTGACTAAGCAGCCAACTTCTGTTCAGTGCCTGATATGTGATGAGAGAATTCACATCTATTGTATTTTTCCATCTCTCCAACGGCTTCTAAATCGGAATTATTGTCCTAGTTTCCCTACCATAAAACTGACGATCAGAATGGTTCTCTAATTTGGTCAAGGTCACACAGCTGGTAAGTGTAGCGGGGCGGAGGCTGGGAGAGAACCTCTTATCAAGTCAGAGGCCTCCCGGTCCTCCACCTGGGGAGGCGTTGCGCAGCCTACTCCGCTGCTTAGCCTCTGGGGTTGGGGGCGCACTCGCCACTGGCGCGCGGGCCGGGGGAGGCAGGCTCTGAGTGGCATCCGGGAGCCGCTCCCAGATTCGGAAGTTACGAAGTTTCCGTGCATTTCGCTTGCTTCTCTGCGCAGCTCGTCCCCGCTCCGCAGTAGTTACGCTGCTAGCGCAGCGGGGCTCAGGTGCTGCAGCGGGCGGGGGCCTGGCGCCTGGAGAAAGGCGGGGGACGCAGCTTACGTAAGCGTCCGCTCGCAGGTGCATGCGGCCTCCACCAGCGTGTGGTCCCTGCGCGCTCCCAGGTGCGCAGTTGGCGCAGGCAGAGGCGCGGCACGGCGCCGGCGGGCGCTGGCCGGCGCCCTCAGGTACGGCAGAGTGCGCGTGGAGGGGGAGCGCGGCGAGCGAGGGGGCGGGCTTTCCGTTCCCCAGCAGCCGCGGGCCCGCCCCCCAGATCGGCCAATGGGCGCGCTAGGCGGTGTCACGTGCTCGCAGCCGCCGCTGCCGCCGCCGCCGAAGCGGAGACCGGAGCCGCGAGCGCCACCAGGGCAGCAGCCGCCGCAGCCGCCGCCGCTGGGCTGAGGAGCCGGAGACGCGGACGGACGAGGTGGCGGCGGCGGCGGAGCGGGAGCGGGGACCGGGCGCGGGCAGAGCGCGGCGGCGCGGGTAGGCTGCGGCGGTGGGGTAGGCGCCTGCGCGGCGGGCCGTCCCGGGCGGGCGGCGGTTTAGGCGGCGGTTGAGGCGGTTGGCGGAGCCGGCCCGGGCCCCGCATTGTTTGTTGTGCGTCCTTAGCAGCGGCGGCGCCAGCCGCGGCGGCCCCGGCGGAGAGCAGGGAGCAATCCCGGCCCCCGTGGCTCCGGCATTGTGGCCGCCCCTGCGGTGCCCTGGCTGTTTCGGGCAAGGGCAGCGGGCAGCCTTCCTCACCTTCGTGGGGGACGGGGTCCCGGCCCCGAGTGAGGGGAGGGCGTGGGCAGTGTTGGGGGGGACCCGGCGCCGGGGGTCTCGGTAGGATGGAAGGCGAGGGGCTCTGGGCAGGTGTTGGAGGACATTGGGGGCAGGGGCTGTGAGCGAGGCTTGGGGGGGGGCTGGCGGAGGGTGTGGGCAGACTTGGGGGAGAATGAAGGGTGGAGGGATCCGGCCCAACGGAGCGGGAGGGCCTTCGGGCAGGTTCGGGCGCCCAATGGGGCCAGGGCGAGTGCGAGAGGGATGGGGAGGGCATTCAGGCGGGTGGGGGCAGCCTTTGGGGGTTTAGGAGGGTGTGAGGGAGGCTTTGGGGAGGGTAGAGGCTAGCGTGATGGGAATGGAAGGAGGAAATTAGGGACTCGGGGGAGGAGTGGAAGAAGCGGATGTCCCGGTCGGGGCTGCGTGTGAGGGGCAAGGCGTGGGGACAGATTTAAGGAAGGCCACCGGACAAATGTGAAGGGAAATGTGGAGGCAGGTGTGCCGGTAGGGGGAAGTGTGATAGAGAGAGGGACGGAGGTGTCTGGGGTCTCTGGAGTGATGGTGAGGGAAATGGAGGCTTGCAGGGAGGAGGTGTGTGTGAGGGTAGGCCCAGAGGTTTCAGGAGACCTGTGAAGGATGTGAGGTTTGTGTCTGGCCAGGAGGTGTGTAGGGAAGACAAGAAGGAAGCAGGAATAGTGTTGAGACTGGATAGGTGGGACACGCAAAGGGCGGACATGTGGGGCGGGGGAGAAGACAGGTGTCTCACTGGCGAGTGGTGCTCAGGGGAGAAGTGTATTGGGGGGGAGGGGAGGAGGAAGGTGATTGGAGCAGGGCCAGAGTTGGAGAAAAGTGAGGACACTGGAGTAGGGTGATGGAGATGGACAGGAGGTGTGCAGTGTATTTAGCGGATAGCAGACGTGAGTGAAATGTGGAAACTTTGGGTTTGGGGAGACATTGCAGGGGACAGGTGGAGGGGAGTATGTGTGAGGTAGAGGGCCAGAGGTGTAAGGGGTGAGGAAAATATTCTTGGAGTGGCAGCTGAGGTATGAAAACAGATGGAAGGAAATGTTTTCGGGGCAGGAAGTGTGGAGGGGAGTTAGGGAGAAGAAGTGGGGGTGGTACACGTGTGAAGGGAAATCAGTAGAGGGAGGTAGTAGGGGATGGTTTGGAAGGAGAGGGATGCAGGTCAGGTCTGGGGTACATACAGTATGTAGAGGGATGGAAACATAGCTTGGGGTGCTAGATTTTGTATGGTGGGGGATAGGCAAGGAAGAGAGGGAAGAATGGGGGAAGACAGGATATTTTTGGGTAGCGGACATAGAATAATGCATAGTACATAACGGGGTAAGAGAAGGGCAAGGTAGGGAGGTGCGTGAATGTGTCTGTGACTAGAAAGGGATAGGTTGTGTATTGGATTGGGGTGATGGTGGAAGAAGCAGTTGTCCAGGTTTAGCGGCAGGAAATGACTATTCAGGTTGGAGAGAGTTAGGAAAACAGGTTGCTTAAAAGAGAATGGAAGGAGCAGGGTGCTGAAGAGTGGGGTGAGATTGGAAAACTTTGAGTCCTGAGAGATTAAGGGGTTCAAAAGTTTTAGGTCACTGGAAATAAAAGGCAGAGTGCAGAAGTTGAAAAAACAAAAGCCAAAACCAAACTGAAGAGGGGATTATATTCTGGATGTAGAAGAACTGAAGAGTGTGTGTGGTGTGTGTATGTGGATCCTGGAATGATACTAATGAAAAATGGAGGACATTAAACCCTGTATATATTTGAAAGTTCATGCCTCTAGGATCAGAAAAATCAAGAAGCCAGATTTTAGTTCCAGAACCCTGTGAATGGGGAAGGGATAGGGTAGAGCTGAGTAGTACACACTCCCAAGTTGGAGGAGGTATGTGGTAGAATATTGTCCTAGTGCATGGCGCTGACAAGTGTGCAGATAGAAGAGCCATAGAGGGTTGTGTGGAGTGCACCACAAGTGAATAGAAATAGGCTGCAGCAGGTGCAGGGCAGATGCCTTTTTGAAGATGCTGCAAGAGAGCCAGGCCCAGTGTCCGTGCCATTCGAGGGCTGTGTATCAGAGAGGAAGGAATACCTTGGTGCAGTGTCTCAGCTACCCTGGTGCTTTCTGGGTAATGGGGCAGTTTTCAGGCTTTGAGTGATGTAATATCTGAGTCCCATGCTAGAGGCAGACAGAGGTAATGTACATCCAGCTCCTAAAAGTGGCAGGAATGGAGATCTGCGATTCTTTAACTCTCTTTCAGGGTGCAAGTAACTGATCCTGGGTTGTTGGCTTTTTCTCCCAAATAGTTCAAGTAATAATTTGGTTGGAGGCTTTTGGATTTTCTGGTATTTTGATTTGAGTTAGGGAGTGTAGCGTTAACTTTATTGAGGAAGACTTTTGGGGTTGTGAGGACATACGGCCAATCAGCTTGCCAGACACATAGAAAATAACTTTCAGCGGTTTGAGCACATATATTTCAGTGCGGTTCTCATTCAGTGTTCTGTGGCTTGTGTTAGATTCTTCGGGATTTGGAAGGATTAAGGAAACTGCTTTGAGACTGCCGTAGTAAGCAGGGTTTTCTACAATCTTGGGAAAGATTTCCCTTTTGACAGTCGAAAATTCAGTCTTGTCAGATTTTGCAAAAAAATTATTTCATGTTGCAGAAATAACTTCAATTATCTCTTTGTGGGCTTCATGTAGTGTGTTATGTAGTACCTGTGTGGTTTCAAATAAAAGGTATGCTTTGATACCTTGGGAAGCTTTCTGGTTTGATTAGTTTTCTCCTTTTGTCAATTTAGGAAGTTTCTTAATGTGGCCATTGTAGGTTCAAATAATAAGTTTGAGTGGAAGTGAGAATCTTGCCTAAACATAATGAAGGCTGAGCAGAACAACACATTTTAAATAATCTGTATCTGTAAATATAAATATTTAAAAAGTAAACTGGAAGCTAATTTTAAAAATCAAATTTTAAAGTGCATCATGAAGGCAACAAAATAATGTTCTGAAGGCATTGCTATAAGATTTTATTTTTGGAGGGAAAGGTTTTTAAAGCATAATATGCCTTTCATTGAAATTCTTTGCAGTATTTTGAGATTTGATATATGTGTAGGATATGATTATAAGGGCATGTTTGGCCCCTTTGGCTCCCTGGCAGAGAATTTGAGCAGTAGGGTATAAAATGAATAGAGTAACCTTTGAAAATTCTCTCCAATATGGCTATTGTTTCCTCCTTGAATTTTTTAAGTCCATTGTGTTAGTTCATTTTATTGATTTGGGGCAAGCAGTATTTTCTTGCTCAGAAAACTCAATTCTGGGAGTGTTCTGGTTATATGTGTTGTTCTGTGAAATTCTATGGTTTGGGATAGTTGGTAGGCCCTTGAAAATATTGTCCTAGGTTTATGAACCAAGGAAAGCAGGTTATTTAGACTTTGTAGACTAAATAATTGGGTCTGGTTTTATTTTCACTGGTGACTTGCTGGACAAGACACTTAATCCCTTTGTGCTTGTTTCTCCTCCAGAAACCTGACTCTGTCTACTTCCCATGAGAATTGAGATGGTTTAAATAAAAGAAGTATAAGTCTTTCAGGAAGATTAGAACTATGTAAATATGGAGATAGCTCCTTTTTTTCTCTGTGTCTTGGTCAAATAATAATTGGTGCTTCGGAATTTGGCATTAGGTGAGTTAATTTATAGTGGGAAACTTGGATAGAGATGAAACTTCTCTGTCAGAGGTGTCTGCAAATTGAAGTTTCTTCATTCTTTGTTCTACTGTCTGCTTATCTTTTCTGGCTCATTTCTGTAGTTGAGTGTTGGTGCTGATTTGAATTCTTGAGTATGAGCAGAAGATTGTGAGAAACATTCTGCATTGTGGCTGTAGCCTGAGATTACTTCTAACATGAATATCCAGAGATGAGCACTTCTCTCACTCAGTGAATTCACTTCCTAAATCAGGAATAATAAATACAATACATTTTCCTGTGTATTTTTCAGAAAATCAACTAATTCTAAGTGACTTGAACAGAAGAATAGAGCTATCCTTCTTCTAGTGGCATTAAACCTCCTCCTTTAGATTATTGAATATTTTTTCCTTTTTAAAATTTTAGTTCTCAAATACCCATCCTTTTGACATTTCCAAGCCTGTTGACGGGTTATGCTCTGTTTGAGGAAGAATGATGTTGAAATGCTTTTAAAATGTTTATTAGTTGTAGAAAGCCTCTGTATGCTGGTTATGATTGATATTGCAAAAATGTAAATAGTAAGTTGCTTTTTGGGCATTAATTTGCTTGAGCTTGGTAATACCCAGCCCTGATAGTAGTCTTTTGTGCTAGCTGATCTTTTTTTTTTTAAGATTTTATTTTATTTTAAAGATTGATTTATTTATTTTGGCAGGGGAGAGAAAGCTAGCAAGTGGAGTGGTGGGGCAGAAAGAAAGGGAGAGAGAATGTCAAACAGAAGACTTCCCACTGAGTGCGAAACCCGACATGTTGATCTCAGGACCCTGAGATCATGACCTGAGCTGAAAGAGTTGGATGTCCAACTGACAGAGCCACTCAGGCACCTCTTTAGAGATTTTTTTTTAAAAGATTTTATTTATTTATTTGACAGAGAGAGATATCACAAGCAGAGGCAGGCAGGGAGAGTGGGGGAAGCAGGCTCCCCGCTGAGCAGAAATCCCCATGTGGGGCTCAATCCCAAGATCCTGAGATCATGAGCTGAGCCGAAGGCA